TCGCTCAAACCCAGGAGGTGAAGGTTGCAGTGAGCTGAGATCGCGCCATTGCACTCCAGCCTGGGAGACAGAGCGGGACTCCATAAAAAAAAAAAAAGGTGATATCTCTGTGAGCCAGAAATGAAGAGGAATGCAAAGTGCTGAGTGGGCCTGCAGCTACCAACCTGCTAGGCTGGGTCACCCATGCTTGTAAAAGAAGCACACAGCCAGGGGCGTACCAGTGGTCCCAGCTACTTGGGGAGGCTGAGGTGGGAGGAATCACTAGAGCCCAGGAGTGCAAGACCAACTAGAGAAAAGGTCTGAATAGGGATCCTGAAGAGATGAGCTGACACCACTGTCAGGTCTTGAGGCCACAGAATGAATGAGGGCTTGGATCCTGGCAAATGAGGTTCTGGGAAGACGGGAGGAAGAGGTCTGGCTTGCAAACGGGGTCTTATTAGGTAGATGAAACCTCACAAGTAGAAGTAGTCAGAGATGATAAATGGCTGTCTTCAGACCTTTCAAGGTGTTATTTCAGTTAATCTCTCGGGCCTGGGTGCAGTAATGGAGATTCTCCACAGATGCAAATTGCCCTGACAATGGACAGCTTTGCAGGGACCCTTCATCTGTTGGCCCTATAACAGCCATTTCAAAAAAATGTCAAAAGTACAGTTTGGGGTAAATGTTTCTGTTGTGGTTGAGACAGAGTCTGGCTCTGCTCTGTCGCCCAGGCTGGAGCGCAGCAGTGCGATCACACAGCTTACTGCAACCTCCACCTCCCAGGCTCAAGCCGTCTTTTCACCTCAGCCTCCTGAGCAGCTGCGGCTGCAGGCACACCCCACCGCACCCGGCTAACTTTTGTACTGTTTGTAGAGACGGGGTTTTGCCATGTTGCCCAGGCTGGTCTCGAACCGCTGAGCTCAAGCAATCTGCCCACCTTGGCCTCCCAAAGTGCTGGGATTACAGGTGTGAGCCACTGTGCCCGGCCTGGAGTAAAATCTCTTGATTTCCTTCAGTATCATTGCTTATAAGACACATCCTAATTTAAGATACCAAAATATGAAAAAATGTTCACAGCAGAATTGATGAACTATAGTGTGTGCGTGGCTGGGTTGTGATATAAAATATTTCAGCTGTGGGCTGCAGTCAGAGTTTGAAACTGGGCAGAATTACCATAATGAAGTGAAGGGGTAAGCAGCAGTATTCTCAAACATCCAAAGACGAAGAGTTTATCACATAGAGGATCTGCCTGAGACCACTGTTAAAACTTTTTTGGATTTTTTTTGAGAAGGGTCTTGCTGTGTTGCCCAGTCTGTAGTACAGTGGCACAATCATAACTCACTACAGCCTTGACCTTCCAAGTGCAAGTGGTCCTCCCACCTCAGCCTCCAGAATAGCGAGAAGCACGGGCATGTGCCACCACACCCTGCTGATTTTTAAATTTACTGCGGAGGCAGAGCCTGTGTTGCCCAGGCTGGTCTTGAACTCCTGGCCTCAAGAAATCCTACAGGCTCGGCCTCAAAGTGTTGGGATTACAGGTGTGAGCCACTGCACCCAGCAAAAATTTTATTATGGAAAAGCTCACACAAATGTGAAGGTGGATTAATAAAACGGTCATGAATGCACCACCCACTTTCAACAATCATCAATCCACTTGGTCAGTGTTGTTCAATTCATAAGCAGATCCCTCCCTCCCCTAAGATTATTGTAAAGCAAAGCCCAGACGTCGTGTTATTTCATCCGTGGATACTGGGGAATGTAGTCTTACCATGTGCCCCGTGTTATAATCGAAGTATCCCACTTGACTCACCAATAAATAATATAGTCACAATAATGAAAACGGAACATGGATTTGACCCCAACGACTTGACTTAACCTCAGCTGGGAGATTGGGAGAGGGGACGGGCGGTGCCAGGTGCTCAAATTCTCATCAGCCACAATGAGAAGCCACTAGACAGGGCCCAAAATAGAGGAAGCAGGAGGCCACGCTGAGCGCGTATTATTTGGGAGTAAGAAAGCAAATAGAAGGAATAGCCAAATCCATTCCCCATGGTCTAGGGAGTGGGAAGCACGAGAGGAAGGACAAGGGCAAGGTCTGCTGGTTTTGTTCTTTTTTGATTTATTTTATTTTTTGAGACGGATTTTCGCTCTTGTTGCCCAGGCTGGAGTGCAATGGTGCGATCTCAGCTCACTGCAACCTCTGCCTCTTGGGTTCAAGCGATTCTCCTGCCTCAGCCTCCCTAGTAGCTGGGATTACAGGCACATGCCACCACGCCCAGCTAATTTTTTGTATGTTTAGTAGAGATGAGGTTTCACTACGTTGGCCAGGCTGGTCTTGACCTCCTGACCTCAGGTGATCCACCCACCTCAGCCTCCCAAAGTGCTGGGATCACAGGCGTGAGCCATTGTGCCCGGCTTTTTACTTTAAATGATGTGCATGTATTACTTTGATTATAACAAAAACCTTAAAAATGAAAATAGGGTGTTGGAGAATTGGTGATTCAACTCCCTCAAGACTTATAGTTTCTGTAATACCCCAATTCCTAAGTTATATTGCTTTTGTTCAATGAGCATGTTTTGGCCTATTTGAAGATGAGAACTGTGTAGCGTAAGGCAGAGTCATGCTTATCGACTGCCCTTCATCAGGAGTGAAAAATTGTACTCCATTGGCTTCTTCTGAGGTCGACTGGCAAGACCTATTTAAAATATTCACAACCAGGCACGGTGGCTCATGCCTGTAATCCCAACACTTTGGGAGGCCGAGGTGAGTGGATCACCTCAGGTCAAGAGTTCGAGACCCGCCTGGCCAACATGGCGAAACCCTGTCTCTACTAAAATAACAAAAAATAGCCGGGTGTGGTGGCGTGCACCTGTCATCTCAGTGACTCGGGAGGCTGAGGCAGGAGAATCACTTGAACCCGGGAGGCAGAGGTTGCAGTGAGCCGAGATTGTGTCACTGCACTCCGGCCTGGGCAACGAGAGTGAAACTCTGTCTCAAAAAATAAATAAATAAATCACAAGGAGCTGGTGCATGACAGGTCACATGAAGAAAGGTGGCATATTACCTAATACAGGTCCATTTGCACTGGTGTTCTCTGAAACCCTGTCTGGGGTTTTATTCATAGGAGACAGTAAATACGTAGCGTGAACATGAAACGGTTCTCGGCGTTTGATGTGTGTGATGCAGCCCTCCCCAGAGGACTTCTCCCTCCTTCCACACCAATGTCATGGTGCAACTCGTACTCCCGGGCTCTCCCCTGGATGTACAGGACTAGCAATGTTTCTTTTTCCTAGAAGGGTGAAATAGTTTTGTCTTACCATGGTCTCTCCAGCACTGAAAAGAGTCTGGTACAGAGTAGATAATGAATGAATGAATGAATGAATGAATGAGGGCTCAATCACTTTGAATGCCGAGGGGACCCCCCACAACTGCATCTTTTGCCGGGTGATGCTTCGCACACTGGAGTTTGAAGATTAATGGTCCTAGACGTCAAATCGATTTGCATGCCAAGTGTCATTTTGATTATTTTAAGATGTCTTCACCATTTTTTTTTTCTTTCTTTGTGGAGAAGGGGGTCTCACTATGTTGCCCAGGCTGGTCTTGAACTCCTGGCCTCAACTGATCTTCCCAGCTTGGCCTCCCAAAGTGCTGGGATTACAGACATGAGCCACTGCCCCCAGTCCTTTTTTTTTTTTTGAGATGGAGTCTAGCTGTGTTGTCAGGCCGGAGTGCAGTGGCATGAGCTCAGCTCACTGCAGCCTCTACCTCCTGGGTCCAAACGTTTCTCCTGCCTTAGCCTCCCGAGTAGCTGGGACTACAGGCGTGCGCCACCACGCCCAGCTAATTTTTGTATTTTTAATAGAGACGGGGTTTCACCATGTTGGCCAGGGTGGTCTCGATCTCTTGACCTCGTGATCCGCCCGCCTCGGCCTCCCAAAGTGCTGGATTACAGATGTGAGCCACCGCGCCCAGCCCAGTCTCTTTTTTTCTGGAAGTTTTAAGATACTTGAGGCATGCCTTTGGCTTTGTTCAGCCAAAAAGGACTATTAGATGACAGCAGGGAGGCACTACGTTATGTTTTAAATCTCACACTTCGGTTAACCTCAAGAACGAGGAAGTACAGAAAACAAGGCTTTCCCTACGTTAAGTGGGAAGATCAGCAAACACAGGCTCTAAACAGGAAAGCACAGAATACCCCTGATGGCTGCCCAGGAGAAACGTCCCAGGACACTGACCCATGTGACAGCACATGCCCCTCAGAGGTGTCAGCCGCGGAGACAGAATGAGGAAACAGAGACCCCAGTGACGTCGGAGGTGGCCGCTGATGCCTGCTCCAGGCGGGGTGGTATTGGCCATGGGCTCTGCGAATCCTGGGCTCGGTGGCCACACTGAGGTGGGACGAGGAGAAGGGCCACTTGCTGGTGTCTGGCTTTCCTCTTGGGCATCAGCTTGCAGCCTTGCAGCCTGAGGGGACTGAGCTCACCCACTTCCATGGGTGGGACCTGCTTGACTCCCCCAGCCCGTCAGCGTGTCGTCTCCCCTCTGCCACGCTGGGCTGCTTCACGGCTCAGGACTGGATGTGAGCTATTAGGGACCCAGGCTTTCTGATTTCCAGAGGCTGTCAGTGTGGAAGGGTGCGGGCCTGGGAGCCACCTCGTGAGCAGGCAGGGAGAGCAGATGGGAGTGTGAAGCCAGCACTGAGGAAGGAAGCGGAGCTGGGAAACGGCGTTAAGGGACACGTGTGCATGCGCGCAGTCCATGGCCTAGACTCTGCCTTTGAGCCCTATCCATGGACTGTGTATGTGAGCCCCCACATTTGCATTTAACACCAGGCACCTGTCTCCTGTGGTAATGGGGACCTCCAGAGAAGCAGGCAGGATGATGCCCTGAACCTGCACTTCATCTCCTGGCTGCTTTATTCTGTCAGTTGACTTCTATAATCCAATTGCCATATGGTGACACTGCCTTCCAAAACAGCTATGGTCAATTTCAATGCAATTAGAGCTTATTCTCAGTATTCTTCATTGGCAGTGGAAAATGCTTCAGTACTTTATTGAAAGAAAGCAATAAATAATACTGTGATAAAAATAGTTCAAAAGTAGACTGTACATACTTTGTTACATAATCAGGAAGTTCACAAAAGATTAATAGAAAAACAGAACAGTAACAATGAATTGTACAAGTAAATTAAAAGCAGAAACCAACTGTGAAAAGACAGGCTGCCTCCACCTCTGTATCTGCTGCACAGGAAATACCACGCCATGGTCTGACACGCTTTGCTGGCTTTTTAATATGCCATTGAAAAAGTAAAAGCCACATCTGCAACTTACACAATCCAAAATGGCTATAACATCGAGGTCTAAAAATGTCCCACTAGGTTCATTCTTTAAACATGTTTACAAACAAATGTAAAAAGATGATTTACATAAGAAAAATAAGGCCTTTATTAGAGCTGCACTGCACTGCTTTCTGGGTCTCCTGCCTTCATCCGCTGTGTGCGCCGACTTGCAGAATGAGCGCGTGGTGCTTGGTGGCTGGCCCTAAGGGGAGCTACATGGGTGTCTCTCCACCGGCTCCCAAGGAGCAGAGGCAGGGAAGAGGGCGCAGGGGCTGGGCTGGTCCCCAGGTTACCCCATCCCGAGTCTCTCCAGCTGAGAGAACTGCTCCCAGCTCACGGTCTCTGTCAGCCACTGAAGACAAGCTCCCCAAATCCAGAGACTAGGCTAGGAAAGCGTTAACCAGTGCTAGGGGCTTCTCATACTGTTGTGATAGTCTTTTCAGTCCACATTTTATTAGGAGCTGATATTTAACACCAGCTATTTTAAATCTGTTCATGCTGCAGAATAAAGCATTTCTTACTAGAAAAAGTATAGTTAAGGTCAGTCATTAAAATACAATTGCTTGAAATTAGGTACGCTTATTTCAGAATGATTGCTGTAGAGCTAGGCTGCATCTGTAAAGGATAATGCACATTGCTTCTGTCGTAATTTTATAAATGTAGTAAAATCCTTTTCATGGTTTATCATTAAAAAATTAATGATAATTACAATAAATGCATAATTTACAAAAGCCCTCTATTTGTTCATAGGATTTATACATACAAGCATTACAGTACATTCATTTGAAAGACTAAAATTAGGTATAAGAACATGATTTGAAAGGATATTTATAGCCTGGATATACATGAAAAAGTAAGTAACTATATAAATGAAGAGTCATAAGTTTACATAAATATAAGAAACATTAAATTCTAAAATATTTTCTCTATGGTATTCATGAATTTTTCACTAATTAAAAACTCTGTAATAAAATATCTTAGGGTCCATATAACAAGTATTAACAGATTAAAGATTCCATTGGATTCTAAAATGTAGTCTTTGTTGGATTCAAATGCTGCGTAATCATCGGTAGAAGTAGTGTGGGTAAACTGGAAAATAAACACAAACAAAAAGCCACTCAGTGCAGGCTGGGCCGTGCTGACGAAAGGGAGCTTCTGACGCTGGGGCCCAAACGTCCCAACCCTGGCCCCTCCCCTCCAGGACCGTCACTTTCTGTGCCGTAGCTGCTCTGAGAATCACTGGCTAGAACATCAAGGGCTATGCACATCAATGAGACAGTTCCTTGGCTGACTTCATTTTGGCTTACGTCTACAAGTTACCAATTACAAATAAAAGATGAACAAACCAGTCAAATATGCCAACGGAGACCTTAAAATTGCTTAGAACGGCAAGGAGAGGGCGGGCCACTCACCAGCCAGAGTCCGTAGTTTTAGGAACCAGTCTCTCCAAACTGACAGGCTATTAGTGTCACACTTAATACAGTATGTAATTCACCACAAAACTTTGGGCTTGTTTCATTCAAGAATGTGTATTTAAAACGAAGCAAGCTTAGGAATCAAGGCCATGTGCATAACGACGTCAGGGTGAGAGACTTCCCTGACGCTCTCTGCCATGCTCTGCTCTCCTCCCCACTGCACCCGCATGACATCCACAGACAATTAAAATGAGTCAGCATTTTCAGGTTTAAGGAAACGGTGAAAATACGTTTTTTTTCCCTTAAAAAAAAGAGGACACACTAACCTCTTTATGATCAATTGTAACAACAACATTATCTTAATGGGTACGGAGAGCTTGTGTCTCTATATATTTTAAATTCCCCAAAAACTGCATTGGCTTTCATGGTCCACACCCCTAGTCTGGCACTGCAGCTCCGATGACTCCTGCTGTGCCTCTGAGCCACCTCCAGGGGTTGTGGTGCTCTCTACTCACCAACAGGAGACTTTAGCAGGAGTAAGTCCTGACTGTAGCAGAATCCAACCTCTGTGTTCCTGATACATTGCCTGTTTCAACAGCCACGAGAGGAAGCGTGCAAACACAGCGTGCAGTTAGTCTTAGAACATCACATAAGGGCACAAGTAGACACACATCTTCACAACTACAGCAGCGCCTACGGAGGGACCTGAGGGGAGCTGCCTGAGTGGGCGGGATGGAGCCAGAGAGAGAGATCCAAGTGTCACCCAGTGGTGGCTCTCCCCAGCTCCCAAGGAGCCCCAGGAGACTCTGGAACACTACTCCAAAATACCAAGCACCAAATGGGACAGTAACAATTTCAAAATGTACATCTGCATAAATGACCCTACTTAGAGCGATCCCTTTGCCTGTTACTAAACTCTACATTCATAGACCAATAGGACTTTCTCCATCTCTGACACTGGTATGAAGGAAACACCACGCGGCACCGCTGATGCCGCCCGGCCCCGCTGAGCACAGAGGCCGACGACACTGGGTACAAGGCCAGCCTCAGAGGAGGGGAGAGAACCTCGCAGACCAGCACTAGCTGCGGTGTCTGGGAAGCCATGCCCTTTTCTCCTGGGGAGGAACAGAGCAGGTGCAGAGATCTGGCTGGAGGGGTGGGGCGTTGGCCAGGGAGTGGGCTGAGGGCTGATCTGAAAACTGAAGCCCAGTCTCAGTTCCTACTAGAAATATTAATCATAGAGACCACAGATTTTCGTTCTTGTTCAAGAAACACACTGTGTGGCCAGAAATAAGCCTGATTTCCATTAACAACCTGGAGTTTAAGTTTTTACAAATCAGAAACAGGTACTGGCTGCCCCCGGTTATATGTTTTTTGTTTTCCCACAGGTATACCAGGAACTCTTATCAACATTGCATGGTTCCAGCAAAGACGTTAGGACAGTTGGGACTATTGGGTAGGACAGATGATCTTCACAAACCCTCTGACTCTAAGAGCCTGGGAGACCTGCTGGAGTTTACCCCACATTCCCTTAATTAAAAAGCCATTAAAATAATCAGTTTTGCTCTGCACGGTGGCTCGCGCCTGTAATTCCAGCAATTTGGGAGGTCAAGGCAGGAGGATTGCTTGAGCCCAAGAGTTTAAGACCAGCCTGGGCAACATGGTGAGACCCCACCTCTACAAAAAGTTAAAAAAACTCGCCAGGTGTGGTGGTGTGCACCTGTGGTCCCAGCTACTTGGGAGGCTGAGGTTGCAGTAAGCCGAGACTGAGCCACTGCACTCCAACCTGGGCAACAGAGTGAGACCGTGTCTCAGTAATAATAAAAATAATAATAATAATAATAATCCCTTTAGCAGGCTTGTGCCTGAGTTATTTATGTAAGGGTAAAAAGTCTTCTTTATAATAAATTCTCTATACCTTTTAGGTTTACTTTTTTTTTTTGAGACAGTTTTGCTCGTCGCCCAGGCTGGAGTTCAGTGGCATGATTTCAGGTCACTGCAACCTCCGCCTCCCAGGTTCAAGCCATTCTCCTGCCTCAGCCTCCCAGGTAGCTGGGATTATTGGCATGTGTCACCATGCCTGGCAAAATTTTTTGTACTTTTACTAGACACAGGGTTTCACCATGTTAGCCAGGCTGGTTTCCAACTCCTGACCTCAGGTGATCCACCCACCTCGGCCTCCCAAAGTGCTGGGATTACAGGCGTGAGCCACCGCGCCGGGCCTAGGTTTACTTTTCATCCATCCAAACTCTCATTCTTAATATTCCTGTTAACATTTAACAAGGGAAATGTGATGTATCAGAAGGAAAACTGAAATGGAAGCCACAAGGAAACAAGAAAGCACTCATGTGGACTCTGCAGGTGACAGCGCTTGAGCTGAAGGCCAAGTTACAGTTACATTTTCTAAGAATTATCCGCATGACTCTTGGAGGAAAAATGCTAATTTTAAAAAAGTTCTTAGTTATACTGAGTTTTCCCCCTTAAGTATATTCTCAAACTCTGGCAAACAATAAATAAATAATACAGCCTTTTACTAAAAATGCCACAAAGTAAGCTATTCTCACCCAAAGTGTCCAGCTTAACTAAGGTTTTATATAAATGTACTTTTCTTTTGATTTTTATACAGGTGATAGAGAACAAAATTTATGAACTTACTTATGGGAGGGGCTGATGACAAAAAAAAACTTGCAAAAACCCCATTAGCACAGTTTTCAATTATTATTAGTTATTATTATTATTATTATTTGTAGAGATGGGGTCTCACTGTGTTGCCCAGGCTAGTCTCAAACTTGAGCTCAAGTGATCCTCCTGCCTCTCAGCCTCCCAAAGTGCTAGGATTACTGGCATAAGCCATCATACCTGGCCCCTAATTAGCATTTAAATTTTTTTTTTTTTTTTGAGACAGGGTCTCAGTCTGTCATCAAGGCTGGAGTCCAATGGCACAATCTCAGCTCACTGCACCCTCTGCCTCCCAAATCCAAATGATTCTCATGCCTCAGCCTCCCAAGTAGCTGGGATTACAAGCGTGTGCCACCACACCTGGTTAATTTTTGTACTTTTTTTTTGCAGAGACGGGGTTTTGCCATGTTGGCCAGGCAGGTCTTGAACTCCTGGCCTCAAGGATTAGCACAATTTTT